AAAGTGCGCTCGTGCGTATATGAGTATTGAGTTTGCTACCAAATAAGCTCAGCAGAACCCTGCACGGGCCTCAAACATATGCCCTAGTCCGGCTCTTATCCGACAGATTATCAGAATTACTGGCCGAGTCCGACTGGAGCCCGTGTCTTTTTTCTCTTTCTCTCTTCCCCAATTACACAGCTGCTGTTGAAGCCATTAAAATAGTTCAGTTTAGTTTTTAATGGCAAAAGTGGTTATACAGTGGGTACGGAAAGTATTCAGACCCCCTTACCTTTTTCACTCTTTGTTATATTGCAGCCATTTGCTAAAATCATTTAAGTTAATTTTTTTCCTCATTAATGTACACACAGCACCCCATATTGACAGAAAAACACAGAATTGTTGACATTTTTGCAGATTTATTAAAAAAGAAAAACTGAAATATCACATGGTCCTAAGTATTCAGACCCTGAAGGAATGAGAGGATCACCTGGACCTAAAGTGAGTCACATTTCCCAGGTGTAACTGGTGTACAATTGAAGTAAGGGAGTCTAAGTAATGTTGTGCTTGGATTTTTATTTCATATATAACATTTTATCTCACCTCTTAATGAGAAAAGGTAAGTAATAATTGTCTTCTCTGTCCAATTAGGGCTTGCCAGGCTATAAGGGTGAGAAGGTACAGTATGTCTGTTAAACTTAACCTAAATGTTTAATTCCCTTTGTAAGTTATGGGACTGAACTTTAAATGACCTAAATCTCTGTACCTATTGTTATGGTTACAGGGAGCACGGGGGATTCCGGACCCACAGGTCCAAAAGGAGACAAGGTTAGAGATGAAAGATGCAATCAAATCAGTTTCTACACCTTAGTGTTTTTTATTAATAGTGTTTCCCCTAGCAACAAAAAGCAACATGCTAAAATTCTTGGAACCCAAGAACAACCATTTAGCAACCACCCAGAACACCCTCAATTGCAACATGCTGAAATATTTGGAACACGCATAACATTAGCAACTATCTAACACACCCTAGAAACCAAATAGCAACATGCTAAAACGCTTATCAACCGCTTATCATGTTTATCAACCTTTTTCACCCCATCAACCGCTTACATGTTAGCAGCCACCCTAAAATAGAATACCCTAAAATCAAAACACCAAGAGATTCTGTGTACTGTTTTTGGGTCCAATAAGTAATATCTCTGTCTCATCTGAATTTAATAGGAGAAAATTATTGGTTATCCAATCTTTTACATTTTTAACACTCTGTTAGCTTGGATAATTTAGAAGTTTCATCTGGTCTTGTTGAAATGTATAGTTGAGTATCATCAGCATAACAGTGGAAACTAATCCCGTATTTTCTAATCATATTACCAAGGGGTAACATGTATATTGAAAATAGCAGAGGGCCTAAGACAGATCCTTGTGGCACTCCATACTTTACTGGTGTTAATTTAAATGATTCCCCATTTAAATAAACAAAGTGGTAACCGTCGGACAGGTAGGATCTAAACTGATGTATTTCTGATGCTATCTATTTTATCTGTGAAGAAATTCATAAAGATTACTACTAAACTGTGAGGGAATGTTTAGTTCGGGTGACGTCTGATTATTTGTTAATCAAGCCACTGTGCTAAATAAAACCCTTGGATTGTTTTGGTTGTTTTCTATGAGTTTGCAAATATGCAAGTTCTAATGTAGCATTTGTATTATCAACGTGAATGTTAAAGTCTCTGAAAATTTGTGCTTTATCAACATTAACCAATAGGTCTGAGAGGAAATCTGCAAATTCTTTGAGGAGATCTGCATATGGCCCTGGTGGTCTATACACGGTAGCCAGAACAAAAGATATTGTTATTTTGCACATTCACAGAAAACGGCTTACTTCTGCATTGAAAAATAAGGTGGATAGGAACACACTAAAGCACTTAGAATACACTAGCAACCATCTAGAACGCCCTAGCAACCAGTAGCTTCTTGATCATGTTGAGAATGTGTAGAATTTAAATATAAGCACTCACTCATATTCACTTGTGCATCATCTGCTCTCTTTAGGGAGCAAATGGGCTGCCTGGGATGCTGGGACAGAAGGTATGATGTGACATTTTAACCATTAAAATCTCATGTATGTAACGCTAATATGTTTTAGATGTCACTGATCTTATTCGTTCCTTCTCTCTGAACCACCCCCTCCTCATCACTCCCCCAGGGTGAAATGGGACCCAAGGGTGAGCCTGTTGTCCCAGGGAAATGTGGCCCTACAGGACGACCAGGCAAGAGAGGCAAACAGGTGAGAACATGCAGCATTCTACTCTTCATCAGAGCTCCAGTCTGTTTTGATATTGAGACCTTGAGTCTTTGAGTGATGATAAGGGAGTGGATTATTGGCAGAATAAGCTTTGGCCATATTTAAAATCCACATCCTCACACTATAAACCTGTTCCGCCCAGTCAGGGGGTCAGTCTGTGGCTGTGTGAGTCATTTCGTAAGTAACCTGAGGAGCTGAAAATCTCACCGTGCTGGTAGCTGGATTCGGACCAGCAGGGCCTCTGATGTTGGGTCCAGCCCTGCCGCTCATGTTTCCATGCTCTTGTATTATACTGCGGATAGGCACTTCCTGGGAATGTCTTAACTAACTGCTGGGAAACACCAGGACTGTTACTGTAGGCTGTACCCTGCTTAGATTCCTACTATAAATCAGTTCAGTGCTGTGACATACACATTTAATGTTCCTTAGATCACTGCACAGGCCACTGCATATATATACACTGCATATATATATATATATACACTACCGTTTAACAGTTTGGGTCAGTACGATTATTTTTAATACTTTCATTCAGCAAGGTTGCCTTAAATTGACAAAGACATTTACATTGTCACAAAAGATTTCTGTTTAAAATAACTGCTGTTCATTTAAACTGAATAAATAAAATAAATAAATTATTTTCAACATTTACAAAATGTTTTGAGCACTAAATCAGCATACCCAAACGATTCCTGAAGGATCACGTGACACTGAAGACTGGAGTAATAGCTGCTGAAAATTCAGTTTTGCCATCACAGGAAAAAAAATTTTTTTTTTTAAATAGACAACAGTTATAATAATATTTCAAAATATTAATGTTTTACTATATTTTTGATCGAATAAATGCAGCCTTGGTGAGCATAAATGTCAAAAACCAAAAAAATATTATCAACTCCAAACTTTTAAACAGTATACACACATAAACTCTATATATGTAAATATTTGGGAGGTTTTAGTGGTTTTGTTGGTGTAGATGAATCAATAAGTTTTGCTAAATTATTTATGCATTCTGACGTAGGGGCCTGATGGAGAGAGAGGTTTTCCAGGGCCAGTGGGTCCCATTGGTCCACCTGGACCCAGGGGCCACCCGGGACCTCCTGGGGTACCTGCATCAGGTGAGATAACATATGCACACAATTTATTTCTGAATCACCTTTGAGGACATCTGCAGATGCTAAGTAAGGTTTTGTGACATTTAGCTAACTTTTGGGGGATGGTTTTTGAACATCCTGGTCTTTTCACCAGAGATTTTGATAAGTAAATCAGTGTATTTCTGTTGTAGCTTAATAGTGATGTCTGATGAAATCTAATTGCTTTTGAACAAATATGACAAAGTTCCAGCGGTAAGCCACACAGACTCTCAAATGTTTTTTTTATGCTGAGGCCTTCCCATTTACTTCTATTGTTTATATATTATAATGTGAGTGTTCTGTAATGTGAGGTGAAAGATATTCAGTAAGAAACTTGATTTTATCCATTTGGAGGTGGGCACTAAAGGATAAATAGTAAATGTAAAATAATAAAGAGTACAATCATAAAGAGTAAATGGGTTCGATTAATTTTTAGGTAAATTATTTTCACTAAGCCTAAACCACACAGATTGTTTTTCCATTCCACTGCCAGCTAAGACATTATTTAGTCCCTTATTTGAGCTGTTTTCATTGTGAGGAATTCTAGGTGATTTTGGGTTTTAGTATCATTCTGGGTAACCTGATGTACACATTGTTCCCATTCAACAAGCCAAATTTGACATAAGATCCAACTTAATTAGCCAGTTTATAATGGAATCATTAAGCCTGTTTGTTCAGTCTTTATATCTGCTTCTTGATCAGTTTATGTTTCCTGGTCAGATAATTGTTGTGAGCAGTGAGGAAGAGCTAAAAGGTCTCTATGAAGATAACGCACTCGCCTTCAGGAAGGATCAGAGGTCTCTTTACTTCAGAGATGAAAATGGATGGGAGCTCATGGTACAGCTCATGGTACAGGATCATTTTGAATGCACTGTTATGAAACATGCTGCCATACTGGTATTTTGGGATCAGGAGCATGTTGTTTGTATTTTAGCTGATGCCACTCCAGGCGACCGAGAGGATGAGGAATGGGAATGTAGTCTGCGGTGATGGAAAGTTGCAGGAACTCAATGGGGAAGAATGCGACGACGGAAACAAGGTTGTTACGGATGACTGCGTAGGTGAGTCACATGATCCCAGAAATGATCACATGTAGCCAAAATAAACATATGCAAATGCTTAAAGGGGTCATATGATGTTGCTAAATATAACATTATTTTGTGTATTTGGTGTAATGAAATGTGTTTATGCGGTTTAAGGTTAAAAAAAAACATTATTTTCCACATACTGTACATTATTGTTTCTCTATGCCCCGCCTTTCTGAAACGCGTCGATTTTTACAAAGCTCATCGGTCTGAAAAGCAAGGTGTGCTGTGATTGGCCAGCTATCCAGTGTGTTATGATTGGCCAAGTGGGAAAGACTTCGGCTACCAGACCTGCAAATCATATCTGCCAGGGTATGCACACCACACACACACACACACAGAAACACATTAACCTGCATATGTAAAATTATTGGATTTTGGTAGATGTTTTTGTAATCAACAGAGATTTTAAGCTGAACTGTCTTTTATTAATTAATTAATTATTTAAAGCTGCATTACGTAATTTATTTTTTTTGGTTAAAAATGATCAATTACCGAGCAAGTACATAACAAATCAGGTTCGAGTCGTTCGCTTTGTGTCATTGCGTCACGTCTGTATACATAAAGAAGAAGTCCCGGCTAGTATGCTACAGGCGAATTCCAAACGGAAGGCATTCAGTTGTTCACTTTGGTTTGGAATGTCCCTACAAAACGGGAACGTCCCGAAGTACAGTGAATATCCACACTGGTGCGTTGACTGACAGCCAACACATATACCTCAAAACATCAGATTCATCCGAGCTGAGGAGCCGTGATGGTTCACTACCCACGTAAAGAAAATAATTCCGCAAATAACTGCAATTGCACGTTTCAAACAGAGATGGCGACAAAGAGGCAAAACTTACGCACTGCAGCTTTAATTGTCATTTTAATTATTTTTCATTTGAATGTTTATTTCATTTTATTTATTTTAATTATTTTTTAAATTTATTATACAATTTTTTTAAATAACATTCAATCATCTTCACTAATTTAATCGTCTTCACTAATTTATTTTAAATGGTCCAGGGTGTGACCATACATTTTTTTACAAATATTTCTCAGTTAATATGAGGTAATAACAGTAGTATGCATATTAATTATAAAAAAGCAAAATCCTTTTAAAATAGTTTTAGATGGAGTAGATCATGTCACGCCGCAGGACCTGTCGGCCTCTAAAAAGTACTAAATGTCAACAGCCATTATGATGAATGTTTAAGGGCTCTCTTATCTTTTTGTACAAATAGCTCCTTTGGGTAGCTCAGGTGCACCGACTCCAGTTTCATCGACTCAACTAGCTGTAAATACAGGACCTGAGGCTTACAAAGGTTACACATTCACACGGACACACACACACAGATATGAGGGCCTGCTGAGATCAAAAGTATTTAGGAGATGATCTGAGATTTGGCTGTGTCTGTCTCCATTGCCTCCCTCACACTCATCTAGACACACAATATAAGGTTCAACTCAGCGGGTACGGCACTATTTGCAGTACTGCTCATTGATGCTAGTATGTTTTTAATGGCAGCTGAGCTAGTGGATGAATGTTTTAGGAAAGGAATGAAAAGACATTATGATTTAAATGAATGTATAATATGTTTATGTGAAACTTATTTATTTGTTTGGTATTGCAAATGCATGATTAGGACTGTGCATGTTCCTGCATGTATATCAAGTTCTTGTTCCCAAGAGACTAAGCACTATTTTGCTGGTACGTGCCTTGTAAAGCATGTATTGCAAATGCAGGTATTTATTTTATATTTTTTTATTTATTGAACCAAATGTTTATGAAAAGATACCTAATAATTCTCTGCTTGATCATTTTTCACAGAAACAAGTATGTCTTGTAATGTTTATTTGGGTTAAATAATCATTTATTCAGTCAGAGCAATAAATTGCAAGCATGTCCAGTGGGTGGCAATGTTTCCCAGTGTCTCACATGTGTCCTTGATTCAGAGCTTTAATACAGCATTTCATACTGGCACAGATTTCAAATACAGATAGTTGTAAAAATTAAACATAGACTGAGGGAAAACAAAAGAGTATTTTTTCTTTGGTGTATTAGAAAGTCTTTATTTGATAAGTTAGATGTAGAGTTAGTAACAAAGGGCTCCAGCAGCCACTAGAAGCATAAACAAGACATTGTCTAATAAACTTGTGTTAGTTTTAGAAATGTAATTGAATACAATTTTTCTATAGAATGTATAATATGTTTATGTGAAACTTATTTATTTGTTTGGTATTGCAAATGCATGATTAGGACTGTGCATGTTCCTGCATGTATATCAAGTTCTTGTTCCCAAGAGACTAAGCACTATTTTGCTGGTACGTGCCTTGTAAAGCATGTATTGCAAATGCAGGTATTTATTGTATATATTTTTATTTATTGAACCAAATGTTTATGAAAAGATACCTAATAATTCTCTGCTTGATCATTTTTCACAGAAACAAGTATGTCTTGTAATGTTTATTTGGGTTAAATAATCATTTATTCAGTCAGAGCAATAAATTGCAAGCATGTCCAGTGGGTGGCAATGTTTCCCAGTGTCTCACATGTGTCCTTGATTCAGAGCTTTAATACAGCATTTCATACTGGCACAGATTTCAAATACAGATAGTTGTAAAAATTAAACATAGACTGAGGGAAAACAAAAGAGTATTTTTTCTTTGGTGTATTAGAAAGTCTTTATTTGATAAGTTAGATGTAGAGTTAGTAACAAAGGGCTCCAGCAGCCACTAGAAGCATAAACAAGACATTGTCTAATAAACTTGTGTTAGTTTTAGAAATGTAATTGAATACAATTTTTCTATATATAGTTTCATCCATTTCAACCATTTATTCTGTTCACCTTAGGCCTAAAACACGGTTTCACTCATAGTGGTTAACTTCCTTCCCTTTTACAAAAACGGATGCCCTTTATTTGAAACCGTAACATTAGCAAGACTTCTCTGATCTGTATGCGCAGATTTAACACTCTTTCCTTTTGCCTTATTTTGTATGTCCAGTGGGTGGCAATGTTTCCCAGTGTCTCACATGTGTCCTTGATTCAGAGCTTTAATACAGCATTTCATACTGGCACAGATTTCAAATACAGATATTTGTAAAAATTAAACATAGACTGAGGGAAAACAAAAGAGTATTTTTTTCTTTGGTGTATTAGAAAGTCTTTATTTGATGAGTTAGATGTAGAGTTAGTAACAAAGGGCTCCAGCAGCCACTAGAAGCATAAACAAGACATTGTCTAATAAACTTGTGTTAGTTTTAGAAATGTAATTGAATACAATTTTTCTATATATAGTTTCATCCATTTCAACCATTTATTCTGTTCACCTTAGGCCTAAAACACGGTTTCACTCATAGTGGTTAACTTCCTTCCCTTTTACAAAAACGGATGCCCTTTATTTGAAACCGTAACATTAGCAAGACTTCTCTGATCTGTATGCACAGATTTAACACTCTTTCCTTTTGCCTTATTTTGTAAAGCCATGTTTTAATCTTTTTTTTCTCATTTTTATTCTGTTAGTAGTTTAATCATTTGCCCTTTCAGTCCATTCAGGGTAAGTTGACAGCTGATAGGATAATTAATAAAAGCCTTTTCAGGTATGATAAGCAGAATTATTAGGCATAATATTTTTGTTCCCGAAACATATTAAATGTTAAAACACTTATTATTGACTGAAGAAAATTAATTAGACAGGTAAACACTTTTTGTGTGTGTTAAGAATCAGGGGTTTTAACATGGCTGCAGCTGTAATGAGGAAACTTGTTCTTGAAATGTGGATGGCAAAAAAAAAACATTTAGTTTTACATCCAACTAGAATGTTTTCACAGATAATGCAGCTGAGATTGATAAAGTGGTGCTCGAGTGAGTTGATTTGACCTACAGATTTGGCTGCTGTTCTTCACTGATGATGAGGACGAGGCTTAAAATATGTCCTGCAAAAGGTTAGCACCGAACTTCATATTGTCCTATTTCATCTTAACTGAGTCCTCATGGCAGGAGGTTGTGGGTTGACTGTGAAAACAAAACGGGAAGAGTTCATTTTCAATAAGAATCTGGTCATTCCAGATTTAGTTTCAGTGTTTGCTTGTTTATAAATTATACCAATCAACTGAGGAACTGATCAAACTATTTATTTTCAGTTTTGGACAATTGCTTCATTTTGGATCTGATAATAAATGGATCTTGAAACAAACTGTTTACATTGAAACAGAGACTTGTATACAGTATACACTACTATTCAAAAGTTTGCGTTTGGTAAGATGTTTTTGGAAGAAGTCTCTAATTGTTACCAATGCTGCATTTATTTGATCAAAAATACAGTAAAAACAGAAATAATAATACAATTAAAATGTTTGTCTTTGCCTGAATCACTACGGTACACCTATAATAAGTGTTTATATTCAGACTATTTTAGACCAGTATGGATGACAACCGTTGTGGAATAGCCCAGTACCTGCGTGACACATCATATCCAGTTACATAGTGTACCTTTAAAATAACTATTTTCTATTTTAATATATTTTCAAATTAAATGTTTGCTGCTCAATAAACATTTTTTATTATTATAATTGCTGAAAACACTTGTGTTGCTTAATATTTTTGTGGAACCCATGATTTTAATTGACTCCAAGTGCATCACAGTGTGAGCATCATAATGCTATATTTGGATTTAAAGAGGTGTTAATAATGCAGATTTTTTTGCTGTCAAATTCAAGCACATCGATACTAAATATATTCTGGAATTTGTTATGAAAACTTCTCCCATCCTATTATCACCTTCTTTTTTGCCACTAATTTTAGGCTACATTATACATGTAGTTGTGTATAAAGCAAACGCAGTATTACAATTGTACAAATAATTAAAAGAAAAAAGGATCATCTGTCTCAAGCCTGTCTAAATGAACAGAGGCAACATTATGAGCAGTGTAATTGAACAGAAACTTCACCTTTGCTCACATACACTCTCACACACAAAGAGGTTGTTGTACCTCTGTTCTCTTTGCTGGGGTAGGTACGTGGGAAGTGCCTGAACTCTTCGGGAGGGGGGAAGTCCTCAATCGGATGGAAGTGAAACTTCGATTCAAAGTCATCTGAAAAGCAGAAAAAGAAAAGAAAAAACAGAAATGCTATGCTAAATTAATGTGCTTTGCATATGCACAAACACAAACATGCAAATACACTATTAGTAAATCATAATTTCACTGTATTTCATTACTAGTGTAACTGCTTGTTGCTGTTCATCAGATGGTAATAATAGCCCATTTAGACGTTTAGCTTCATCATTAATGACAACCCGCAGTCTCACCTAAGCTGTGCAGGTGTCCGTTGCGTACTGAGCTGGGCGGAGCTGACAGTGGGAGAGGAGGAGGGGGTGGGATCCTACTGGAGAGTTCAGTGTTAGGAGATCGAGCAGGGGGAGCAGGGGGTGGA